ATATTGGAAGCCTATTTACCTAAAACGTTAATTTCTAAGACTGCATAACCAACCCAGTCTCCCTTCAGCATCCTTTTTAGTGATAACCCAGAATCTGGCTGCAAGTCATGCACATCGTTAGAATCAGTCTGAACATGCTGAGCAATGGAAAAACGAAATCTCAAACTTGTTTCTCTTCTCGTGAAAACATCAAACCATGTTATCAGACATACATGCACATTTTGTGTTTTGCTTGCTAGATCATTTATTTTTTCTTAAATCATTCTCAAAAATGCTCCAGAATAAACCATTTTGGCATTAATTTTTGTTTTAATTTCTTGTAGAGCGCCCTGAAATTCCAAGAGGGACACCTCTCTCATACATTACCCCCCTCCCCTGTGTTTTCGTTTCCGCCTCAGACTGCTGCTCAAACACACTTTTACTTGCTTTACTAGTAGACTCACTCGTCTCCCGAATTCATGAGCCCGTCCCTGCATTGAACCTCCTCATGCAAGGTGCGTATATTTTACTCAATAAGTGATCTCTGACTTAACTAGAGCGCGTTTGCTAAACTGATCTCAACCAGTTAAATCAAAGATTTTGTTGCATATCCTGTAAATTTATCAGAATACAGCTTATTGTTCTAATGCGACTTCTCTGAGAACACACTGCTTTTCTTTAAAAATGCTTATATCAGTCGCAAAATGCTTGGAATATTACCAGTGAAGCAGATGTGGATGGGATCACGACAAAAAAACCAAAAAACCGTGACCGTGAAAGTTAAGTCGCAGAAGAGGTCAAAATAGAGTCTAACGCAGTTAAAGCAGCTTATGCAAATGACAACAAAGAAGGATAGTCAAATCAATAATAGGGTAAACAACCTCAAAGAATCGACAAAAACAAAAGAATTCCTCTAGCGTTTCAACAGGATCCAAATGATAGAAGATTCACGGTATCAACAGCAGTGTTAACTCCTAAAACATACAAAACGAAAGAGAACAGTGATAACAAACATCGTGTGCATACTTCAGGATTTTCTGGGATGGAAAAACACCGATAATCAGCGGACTGCTTGAAAAAGGGTTTATGTTTGGAGAACACGACTGTTGGTTGTTGTTGATTAGGATAAGCTAGCAGGAACAAAAGTTAGATAAAGTAAATAGCGATAAATTAAGAATTCTTCTTCATCTATTTGGAATAAAAAGTTGTTTACTCTACTGCATAAAATTAGTAGAACTGAAGTAAAAACTAAATGAAATCAGTTTGGTAATAAACTTTTTGCGTTTATATATTTGAATGCTGTTATATCTTCACTATCCCACAGTGTTTTCAAATGTTTTAGACACCGCCTTTCTTGCTTCATATATGCTACTATCACTAAATACACAGGCCTGCGATAGTTTTAATATCTTGAAATTTTTATATGTTCTACAGTAATTCCTTTACGTTGACTCACAAAATGATATCCATTTTTCTCCATCACGTACAGATTTTTCACAAAATGTCATATATACTTTTATATAATGAATCATTTTCATCGAAGTCGAGCCACATTTTGTTATGCTTAAAATCTTGACAGCCATTGGCTATAGATTTCTCTAGACCAATTGCGACGTGAGAGTCTCATCGATCCTTCTAGAATCCACGAGAAACATAACTCTAGTATATAAACGGTTAACAGGCCGCATGATGTGTCATTTCTGGATAGTATTTGTTTGTGAGTGCACTTTGACTTTTTTTTCTTTTCAATATTATTTATTCGTTGCTATGGCAACAAGAGGTTGTGTTAATGATCCAAACATATTCTCTTATATTTTTAGTAAATTTGTTGTAAAGAAACAAAGGCAAAACATTACGGAATTCGTCAAAAAAAGCATATTACGCGTATTTTGGAATAAAACTTGAGGACCAAGACAAATTATGGGCTCTGCACAAAGTTTTCACCGTTTGTGTCGAAGAGTTGAGACAGTTGACTAAAGGTAAGAAAAATATTTTGCCTTTTGGAATTCCAATGGTCTGGCGTTAGCCTAGAAACCACGGAGATGACTACTATTGTTGCTCATGTAATGTAATATGCAATGCTACAACACTCGAAGTAAAAAGGAAATTTCTTATCCGAACCTTCAATCTGCTATAATACCTGTTGCTCATGGACCTGATGTATCTGTACCCACTCCACCGGAGACTCTTGATACATTTTCATCGGATTCTGAATCTGATGTAAATAGAAATGATGATAGGGATTGTTTTCAACCTGAAACATCTGGTGAACCACAACTTTTTACACAAGGTGAACTTAATGATTTGGTTAGAGATTTCGGCCTTCCAAATGATACTTCTGAGATTTTGAGTCCAGACTTCGGGCTAATAACTTACTTTCTCCAGGGACGTCATTTTACTGGTACAGGAATGGTGAGAAAGAATTTATATCATACTTTTCGCAAGAAGGTTCACTGGTTTATTGCAACAATATTGCTGAATTAATACCAATGCTAGGAGCTGCAATCTATGAACCAAGTGAGTGGCGATTGTTCATTGACTCCTCCAAAAGAAGTCTAAAGGTTTTCTCCTTCACAATGGTAACATATATGCATCTGTTCCTATTGCTCATTCGGTTCACTTGAAGGAAACGTAAGAAAATCTCGAACTTCTTAATAAAGTCAAATACAAATAACTTGGTTGGCTATTTTGTGGAGACTTAAAAGTCCTTTGTATATTGTTGGGTCAACAATCCGGTTATACAAAGTTTCCATGTTTTTGGTGTGAATGGGTCAGCAGAGCACGAAATCAGCACTGGATAAAGAAGCAATGATCACGCAGAGTCAGCCTGATACCAGGATCGAAAAACATTGAACGTGAAATTTTGGTTGACACAAAGAAAGTCCTATTACCACCACTTCACGTAAAACTAGGCTTGATGGAATAGTTTGTAAAGGCCTTAGACAAAGGTGACGACTGTTTCAAGTATCTATGGGGGCAATTCCCAGCTCTTTCATAAGCAAAACTTAAAGAAGGGATTTTTGTTGGGCCTCAGGTTAAGAAATTGACTTCGGATGAACAGTTCGAAAGGACAGTGAAGAAAGTTAAAAAATAATCGTGGATTGACTTTAAAGATGTTATTGACAAATTCTTAAGAAACAACAAGGACTCAAATTACGAAAATATTGTCAATTACATACTCGATAAATTCAAATAATTGGGTTGTAATATGAACTTGAAAGTTCATTTCTTACACTCACATACTGACTATTTCCCTGAAAATCTCGTTGCTCTCAGTGAAGAACAAGGGAAAAGGTTTCATCACGACATCAGGGAAATAGAGAGGAGGTATTAGAGAAAGTGGAACATCAGCATAATGGCTGATTACTGTTGGTCATTGAAACGAGATGCTCCAGACGCAATACATAAAAGAAAGACCAAAACACGTAGTTTTGAGAATAAAAGACGTAGCTTTCACACACACGCACACAAAATCAGGATTTGACATCAGTGTTCTTCCCTATTCTTCAGTTTGTTTTATTTTTGTTAACAAACATAACAATAAAAATGTTCATTGTGGTAAACGAAATAATAAGTAAGAGTTTTTTTTCCTCCCGATGTAAAAAAAAAAAAAAAAAAAAATCCTTACGCGATAGAAAAAATAATAATATTATTTTCGAAATCTGCGTAGCTGAATTATGGAAAATCAGTTATTAAAACCAAAACAACTTTTATGAAGTTTAAGTTCGCAGACCCGTAATGTTAAAAATTCTTGTACACCAGGGTTCAAACTTTTATGCATGTAGGTATACAGTAACGGCATTCTATGTGAGATACTGCTTATTCATTAGTGAGAACGGGTTTGATGCACGACGAGAATCAGTAAACCTCCTTCTACCTCAAGGCGAGATCGATGTTTGGTTTTGATGGAAGCCAATGCAAAAACTTTTGACATGCCAGAAGGAATCAGCAGTAAAATATGATATACTCAAATTAAGATGTGTGCAGTATTTTGAATTTTTTTTTATGAGCCTCCACCCCCACCCCCTCCTAACATTTCGTTTTTTTTCCTTTTTCCTATATGTTCTTGGTTATTACAATGACTTTTTTCTTTTTGTAATCAAGTTTATGACCAAGTAACGAATAAGTGGCAATATTTCCAATGGCCAGCCATTTGTTTTCCTTTTATAATTACAGGAAGTCACGCCCTTCTGAAAAGACAAAGACTTTCATTTTTATCGCTCAAAATCTGTTTAGTAATTGTTCTTGTACGATGCTAAGTGTGTTTCTTTAGAAAAATAATAACATAATGCTAATTAACATAACTATTTCAAAGTCAGTATTTTCCAACTTCTGCTGACATCAGCTGATTATCTATGAAGATTAGTGGAACATTAATTAAGCAGGGGAATGATAATGTATAATACAACTTTAATATAGTATTTTAAGCAGTCACTAGTAAAAAATATGATCATTCCTTACTGTATTTCGTTCTCGGTGGGAAGTAAAGATGGAAAGGACTACATTCAATGTACGTTTATATATTATACATAGGTTTATCTAAACGTGTTTTCCAAATATTAAAAATTGTTGTTCTAATAAAGACAGAATATGAGTGTTATTACAAATCTCGTGGAGAATTCTATAGATATTCAGCTGGGGGATTCTTAAAACACTAACTGGCTGAAGAGTTTTTGCTGATACAGTGAAAGCACTATCATAGGTTATATATATATATGACAATCAACGGAGATAATAGAATTTACATTTTGAAATCAATGTAAAAGTTTAAATGGGAAATATACATAATATCATATCAAATAATAACATTTCGCATCTAGAACTGCTTGCTAATCGCTATGTAATTCAATGTAAAAACCTATTTTTTTATTATAATTTTACTTATTTGCATTTTTCAAATCAAGATACCATACGTGTTAAATATATATATGTGCGTGAATGTAATAACTTTGATAGACTGTAAAATGTAAACTACATTTGACAAACGCCATCTCGCGTTAATTTTGGTGAAACGCTAAGCCGGTATCCTTTCGTGTCAGTTCAGTTGTAGTTAATCGATCGCCTGTCTGCTTGCAGCAGCTAAAACTTTAGAGATGGCAGAGAAAGACATACAGTACTATGAAACACAAGAAGATAAAACAAAATGGCAAAGTACAAAAGAATTTATATGGAATCCTCGAACACGACAGTTTTGTGGAAGAACGGGAATTAGTTGGGGTACGTTTTTAAAATGCTATTGTTTCATCGTTTTTCTTTGCCTAAGGTTAAAGCCATAAGGTAATGAGTCAGTAAAGTATGATCTAACGTTTGTGCTAATATTTAAGTCCTGTTCAAAATTTCTATCTTTGTAGAAAACTCTTATCTGATAAAATTCGAAGTTATATTTTGCAATACTATTGTCTTAGTATTTAGATAGATTATGTTGCAAATATTAACTACCAGTTATGCACTATTCCTGAATTTTAAATTACTGAAATGTTGTAATAAACTTAATAATGTTAGTTACCACTACTACCCTGCAACGTAATCCATCAAGTTCGAGTTAAATTGAAATTGACCCACAAGATACGTAAAATATTCAATATCTAATTAATTATTTTGGTGGCGCTATTCTGTGTATCGTTAGTTCATTTAAGGCGCATAAGAAAAAACTAAAAAAAACGAATACTAGAGAGTAGAATGCGTTGTAAATTAAACGAAAATGTATTTTGCTGTTATAATTTTATTATTAGTTTGTATAAAAACCAATTACACTTACTGAGTTAGAATTATTAAAATATGTTTGTACTGTGTCAGTGTGCTAAGCCTTTGAAATGTTTGTTCATTCTTTACCTACATATTACCATAAGGCAAAGAAAGTTTACCTTTTTCCGAAGGTTTTTCAGTATGTACAGAAAAATTAGTTGAGGCTACAACTTGAGATACGAATCCACTAATCATTAAATTCCAGTCCTTAAAAATCCAAAGGAGCCAGTTAACTTAGGATTTGTTGATTTGGTGGTCATTAAGTTTTGTGTAAGTTAGTGCCCTTAGTCAGACAGACAATTAACCAGCTAATGTTGTATATCTATAAATAAAAATGTACTTGGTCTTTGGTAAGGTATGAAAGTTTGGAGACTACTGTTAGTTTTGTACAGATAATTAAGTATATTGTGGATTTATAGCACAAGATTTGAAGTAAAGCTGAGAAGTAATTTTATAGTTTCATTTTTATTTAAAATTGTTATAGGTGTATCTTAAAGAAACTTAAACATTTTAGATGTAAGAAGCAGTAATAGTGTTTAATAGAAAATATCTTTAATTTTAGAGTAAATAATTCTCTATATCTAGAAAACATTTAATGCAAATATGACATTTAATAATACAAAAATATTTTATAATATAGTATTTTGATTGTGTTACAAACATGATTTTCATGAAAACATAACAGAAGAATATGCAGAAATGTTTGTATACTGTTTAATCAATTTTATATACTTCTAGTTTCTGTAACATAAGAAAAACATTCTGGCAGCTTCTAGCATATCCAAAAATAATCTTGGGTAAGGTATAAAAGTCATTTATAGTGCAAGGACTTTATCTTCTATACCTATGTGTTTCTCATAGAAGCAAACTTTATCACATTTGTGATTTTATCTGTACAAACCCGTGTGTTTTATTTCATTTGTTTATAACTTATTCTTAAATTGATTCTGTATTACATGAGTATTCATTGGTGTTCATGTATACAAAAAGAGAAAACATGTTTTGTAACCATAAAATTCATGAAATTTGTGGAAGAGCATCTTACTCCTTTGTTATATAGAGTATGTTATTAAAATTATGTTTTAATAATCTAGAAAATGTCCCTGTTGATAATCATGTACTAAACACCAGTTAAACATTATAAAATTACATTTACTTTATTTCAAAGTTTTGGGTTACTCATTTTAAGCCAGTTTTAGGTATATAGTGTATAAGATTACTTTATCGTTCTCCACCTTTATCTTGTTTTTTCACAGAATCAGCAACAGAAAAGTGCAATTATTACATCTTGTTAGCATGTAGTACAAAAATGTATGCTTTAAGTCTTTACATTGTTTTCACTACCTCAGTTGGTTTCTTCTCATATAAATTGCTTATATTAATAAAAATTGAATAGTTTATTTAATATAATAACTTCCTCTTTCTATATTTTTTCACAATACATTTGATTTTCAAATCAGGGGATAATACAGGCTAGACTTGGGAGCGTTTACAGCTTTGGAGCGCAAAATTTAGGCGCTCAAATTTGAAAATCTAATTCACGAAAAAGTTAGACCAGAAATCAAAACAATAAAAAGTATAATAATAAAATCAAAAATTTTGGTTATATTTTTTTCTCTTTTGGTGTTTTGTTATACTTCGAAATCCATCTGAGTAGATGCACATAGATATATCATAATATTTAAAAGTATCTATTAGATTTTCGATTAAATGTATCTGATAGTTTATTTTTCTGCGAGCGCTCCCTACAATCCCCAACTCAATTCTCGGCAAGTTTCTGCCACGCGGAAACTTGCGTTGTTTGCTCTCGATTACCGCCGCCCAAATTAATTGTTCTGTATTACCCTCTGCAAATGTAACTATTTAAGGTTTTTCATGCATGTTGAATAGAGTTATTAAGAGAAAGTGTTATGGGTTAATTTAATTATTAGAGTACTATCCTCACTTTTATTATAAAAATGATGTGATTTTCTAAAAAATGTGCAAAAGAAGTTTATCCAAATATTTTCTGGATTACGGAGTTATGTTATTAATGTTCTTTTCAGCTAAATATGTAATAAATCACTTATATATACATTTTATTTTAAAGGATCTCATAAAAATGTGTAAAACGTTAAGTACTGTTAATATTTGGAGAATTTCCTGTTGCAGCCTCAGAAAAAGTATACATTGTGTAAAATGAAAATTGGGGGTGGGGGGATCACTAGAGTTGTTTGCAGCTGATAGCCATAAATAAACCAACTCCTATCATTTGTTCAGATACTTAGCATATAGTATGAACATTTTAATATTTTACAATATGCAATTCTTAAAATGCTTCCTACATAAAATTTATTGTGCTTGTATTCTGTACCTTAAGTACTAAATATCCTTTACAGTTTGATCTCAAGTTCAATGCAGCTGCAGTATCATTCCAAAAAATATGATTTCAACTATCAAAAAAATTAATAGAAAAATAGTTTTCTGCTACTTTTTGTGAATATTGCTAGTGATTTGACTCTTTTTTTTTTTTTTGGAAGTATGGTAAGTTTGGCCAATTCAATACTAATAATTATTATTTAAAGGAACTAAAAACAGATTTAATGCTGAACTCAGTCTCGTAAGATAAAAAAAAAAATCTTGAAATGAATAATACTAAAGACAATTTCATGTAGTATCAACAGCAACCATGAGCTAACATTTTTCTACATGGATATCCTATAGTATTCAATGTACTGACTTAATTGTTATGCCTCAAGATCAGATTCTGACTACTAGCCAGAATAAAAGTTTTACATCATCTAAAAATAAACAATCGGTGTAATTTAAAAGTATACAACTATATTTTTTGAAGATATAGATAAAGAAAAGGATATTAAAAGTCAAGTTATTTATAAGGAGATATAAACCTAAACTCCAGAGAGAAGAGTCACCAGTTTTCGATGCCATTGTTACTTCTTATGTTATATCGTGTATTCAATAACCAATTTAAGATTTCATTTACGTATGTTGGTTCAAATGTTTGTTTTTAATTTTTCGTTATTCGCTCCCTTTAGATCTATTTCAAACTATCCTAAGCAATGGCTTTTAGAAAAATTATTCAATTTCCACGTCACATCTAACTAATAATATTGCGAAACTGAGTTTCTCAATTTATTTTATGAGAAGTAACTGAAATATATTTGTTCAAGTTGGGGCGTGACCATCACAATTACGAAAATAGCTCGTGTATAACAATAGGAACTGTTAAAAGTCAGACTTTTTGGTATTATCATATTTGATTTTTGCAGTTTCAAAAGACTTTGACTTTAAACTGAATAAAAGTGTTAGATGCATTGAAGTATTAAACATATTTTATATATATAAAAGAGAGAGAGAGAGAAAACTCGTTCTAATAACCGCCCAATTGTCAATATACAAGTCTGTTTTGTGTAATTCAATTTTCAAGATAATTTTTCTAGATGAAAAATAAAAACAAATTGGTGTACTCATGTTGGTGTTATAATTTTAAAGAAAAATACGGTAGATTGGAAGTTAAGTGTACGGAAAGAGTGTTTTAGATTGGAACCTTAGTAAGCTGATAATGCAACATTTATAGAATTGTATATGTGTTTCCAAAGTCCTTGAATTAATTTAGTTCTTTGGACTTTCTCTGTTGAGTGGGAGAGTTAGTTTTAAAATAGCACAGTCTACGACACTTCAACACGCACTATGACGTCACGGGTTACGTTTTATTACGTAAATATCAATTCAAAGAATGGTATGCTACACCGTAATATTACTGTTACCATTTGAACGGATTGGTAAAAATTTATTAATTTATTTTTAGTTTTTTTACTTTCAATACAAGTTATTTATTTAAATTATCACCGTAACACAATAAATTTTGATATGATTTCGCAACAGCATATGGATGATGGTTTTAATTTTTTTACTCAATAAGAGATGGAACATAAATGACTGAAAAATCATACTCGAGAACTCTCCGTTGTTGCGCGTTTTAGCAACATATTTTAGTAACATATTAGCTCACATTGCATAACAAAGACTATACATATACACGGCTGAAAATTGCAAGTAAGAACTATATCAATTCTCCTCAGCCCAAATGGGCTGATGGTAAGGAATGTCATCCAGCGGAACTTGGGAATTCGACGTAATTTAAAAGTAAGCGTATAAATACAACACTTTATTCAACTTTTATAGCACATCTTCCCGGGAAAATGGGGTTTATCATTAAGCAAAATCTTGCATGTAATATTAAAGGTCTCAAACTTATTTTCAGTTACACACATGACCGCGCTTTATGCTGACTAGTTTTGTGTTGATAAACTATCTCCTATAGAATACTTTCATGTGACGTCACTCGCTCGCTGAGAACTGTTTATCCGCCATACTGCGAGTCAAGCGACGACTACGGGTACAGCAAATTCCCCATATGCCACATAAATTGAAAAATAATAACGCCAGAACCCTGGTATAATATGTATTAC